ATACCGGTTCGGGTTCGAATTCCAGTCAAATCCATTAAATTCATTTATGTGTTAATACAAATGAAAGGTATGAATCTTCTTCTTCTTCTTCCCCCTAGCTATGGGTAAATAACAAGACAGACATGGTGCTGTAGACTTGGATGGCAACTGGTCTACCACAGAAAGAAATGGCAAGGTATTACGGGAAAAATCTGCCTCATCAGTCATGTATCGAAAGATACATGATCGCCTAAGCGTGTATCATGCATGGCACATAACTGACTGAATAATAATGGGGGAGCAGTTAATCACTTCATAACAATATAAAACTGATCCCCACTTCATGTCCAACAGAATCCTATATTAATACATCGTCAAAAATTGCAACATTATTTTAATTCATCCACCCGAAGCAAGGCGATAATGCCACTAAGACGCAAGGGAATACTGCAAGTGAAAGAATGAAAAAATACTTTTGAAGGAACCTGAAACCCAATCCTAAACAGGAAATCAAGGATGAATCTTTACTCCTGTTCAACAGACCGGGGAGGAGAGTGGACCGGAAAACAATCCTAAACACGAATCAAAGGATAAACCACTACACCTGTTCAAAACACCTGGGAGGAGTGTGAAACGGGCAATAATTGAACTTATCTCCTTATTAATCTCGTTCTGCACCTTTACACACGCGCACACACACACACACACACACACACACACACACATATATATATATATATATATATATATATATATATATATATATATATATATATAAAAAAACAGATCACATTAATTTTTACCATTATGAAATTTATTTCACCAGAGCCCTTTTAAATCTGATGATCGGGCGATAATTAAAAGCATTTTTTGAAATAAATTTTATAATGGTACCAATAATGTGATCTGTTTTTCTTTAAAATATTAGCTTTGGATTTACATTGAGCTCTCAAGATTTCATCCTCCTTGGGATTACCCATACGGATTACCAAGTTCTTCATAACTTATATATATATATATATATATATATATATATATATATATATATAGTGAATAGAAAAATTAGGAAATCGTGTAACAGAATGCGATAATTGTCCATCCCACACAATGTTTAATATCTAAAAAACAATAAACTAATTGACTTTCTTTTTCCAGGTTTTCAGATAAGATAATTAGATATTTTGGCACCATGAGTCGTAAGAATCGTTGAAAACTCTTTGAAATATTCAGCTAGAAAGAGAACTGATTAACGTAGGTTTTGTTGTCAACCCCACTATATCTTCCCAACTGGGCAATGGGGAGAGGAAAATGATCATTCAGGCCTTCAGTGATGGTACCAACATTCATTCTTTGGCTTCCATCTTCAGAATCTATTCAAGAACCATCAAAAGAACGGGGAATAAGTTTAAAAAGAGGAAACAGTAGAGAGGAAAACTGGATCAGAAGGTTATAACAGCAAGAAAGAACATCATTTCAACTTAATGCTAAATACATTCTTATTCTTCAAATTTGAGTCCAGTTGTGTTATTAAAAGCACGGAGAATTCCAGTAAAATATCTTTAATCATTTCTAAGATAAAACATTTCAAACAATTGGATAATTTTGCTGTTTGACGATTTGGACTATTTTTGTAATCATCAGGCCTGACGATTGCGCTTAAACATGAAACAGACTTTTACTGCTGGGTCTTAACTTCAGTGTCAACTTTTATATTTACATACGTTCTATCCCTATTGAGCATAAATATAGCATACCTTCAAAGTATATATTTTTTCATATATATATATATATATATATATATATATATATATATATATATATATATATATATTAATTCATCGAATCTGATAGAAACCTTGCTACTGCGCTCCAAAAACAATAACTCATTTCCAATAGCATTTTCGGATACAACAATACATATATTTTCGTTGTCCTCTTATTACTAAGAGAAAAAACAAGAACAACATCTATTCTATACCTGAAGATGTCTTGTAAATTGATTTCACGTTTATCGTAATATATATATATATATATATATATATATATATATATATATATATAGCCATTTTCAAGGACGAAATATTTTAAATGTTAAAATACTTTTGTTGCATGTATCTATTTACATAATGTTTTCATACGGTCAAGATATTGTATATATTATATAATATATATATATATATATATATATATATATATATATATATATATATATATATATATATATATATATATATATATATAAGCCCTTAGCCTAGAAGTTTTTAAAAAAAGTATCATAAAGAATTCAGCTTCTCTCGCCATTCATTGACATTGATTTCGAATCGAGACCCAGAAACACGCATTTTTATTTTCCTTTTTTTTTTTTTTTCATTCCCGAAATTGAATCAAATGAACAAGCAGGAAAGTCCTACAGTTTATATTTTCGGTCGATTCATTTTGGGACAGCCTGACTTCATTAATGTCTCTTGATTCAAATAAGAATACAGTGCAATGGAATGCTTTTTTGGTTTTTTTTTTTTTTTTTTTTTGTTTAAATTCTTTTATTCTTTTTTCTTGTACACAAATACGGCTGGAATCAATAAAGACCAATTACGGAGAAATTATAATCTTCCCGCTTATTCTATCGCGCTTGAAAAAAAAAAAGTACAAAACAAAAATAACAACAACATTCGAACGAAATTAATCCGGAAACAAAAACGAACGATCAAAATCACAACCCGGAATTAATGAAATTGGCGGGAAAATCAGATCAAAGAATACACGAAATTCTGTTACAAAACATTTTGATAATAATAATAATAATAATAATAATAATAATAATAATAATAATAATAATGAAAAGAATTATAAATGCCAAAAGAAAAATCAAAATGCGCTCAAATCCGAAATTTACAGAAATTATTTAAAAAAATTAAAATCTTAACTTAGATTTTTAAGTGACAGATTAAAACGATTCATAGGCTGATAAAAAAAAAAATCCAGAACAATTGAGATATTGGTTAACAAAGAATAACGCTTGCAGCAAGAATTACGCCAATTTAATTCTAAAAAAATTCTTTAAAGTACGAACGCTGTTACTTTCTAAAGTTCTGAGGCAAAGTATTTGAAAATTTGCACAAATTTTTCTGGGTACTATCATAATTTTTATAGTTTTACTTGCGCTTCTTCAACTATGGCGATCTCATGCCTGCTTTAATTTTAAAGATGTTTTATTTAAAATTTAACAATTTTTTTAAAACTGCTTCCTCGGGCGAGTATCTTATTTCTTCTTGTTTTTAACCTCCTTCCTTCAAATGGTACTTTCTCATGCCTTCTTTGGACAGTTTGCATTTCATTGACGAAGTATCGTTTTTTTTTTACAGTGAGGATCACCGTGGACAAGGCTCGAGAGCCATCCAAGGTAGGGTGTTATAGTGTAAGAAGTACAACTTGTGCGGATATGTGGGGAAGATAACGGTTAACTCTGAGATTGTAGTGATCGGGGAAACATCCTCCTGGGAGTCGGTTCCACAAAGTAAGAGGTAAGAAGCACGGTTTATGAGGATATGTCGGGAAGATAACGGTTAACCCTAGACTTGAACAGGTTGAGATTGTAGTGATCGGGGAAGCATCCTCTTGGGAGTCGGTTCCACAAAGTAAGAGGTAAGAAGCACAGTTTATGAGGATATGTGTGGAAGATAACGGTTAACCCTAGACTTGAACAGGTTAAGATTGTAGTGATCGGGGAAGCATCCTCTTGGGAGTCGGTTCCACAAAGTCAGAGGTAAGAAGCACAGTTTATGAGGATATGTGGGCAAAATAACGCTTAACCCTAGACTTGAACAGGTTAAGATTGTAGTGATCGTGGGAGCATACTCCTGGGAGTCGGTTCCACAAAGTAACAGTTAAGAAGCACAGTTTATGAGGATATGTGGGGAATTCTCATCGATGGAATAGAAAGGGAATAATGGTGTTTCGCTACAATGTGCGTAGGATTGTGGCTCTTGACCGTGGAGGTTATCACTGGTGAAACTAACGAATGTAGTTAGTCTGAGAATCACGAAAGACGTACGACGTTTCGTCTGTGAGAAAGGGTTTGTTGGGTGGAAAATAATTTGTTACTCACAAGGATACGGTGATGCTTTTTGACTCTGTCGAGATAGGAAAGTGAAGACTGGGCAGTTCCTGTCGATATATAGCAACAGTACTCCATTGTAGGTCTGATCTGGCTCTTATAAACGTAGAGGATAGCATGAGGATTCGGGAACTTACTGGAGGAGTACAGGGGACCGAGCATTTTTTCGGCATCTCTGGTGATAATATACGAATTCCACTTGAGGTCTCGGTTGAGTTTAAGGCTCAGTACGCACTCGAGGCACGGTACCTCCCCGGGGGAATGTCATTCATCACTGCTAATAGTTCAAGTCCAGATCGGCGGTGATGAAAAATAACTTGATGCTTTTATTTCTCCTTTTCAACTCGTACGCTTACATATTGTCTACCGGTTCCCGTCTGATCACCGAAGTTAAGCAACGTCGAGCCTGGTCATTAACTAGATGGGTGACAGACTGGGGATAACAGTTGCTGTAAGCTTGGGTGTGCGGCTTGCATAAACGTCTTACGACCATACCACTTAGAAACACCGGATCTCGTACGATAATAAAAGTTAAGCAACATCGAGTCTGGTCATGACCTGGATTGGTGACAGCTTGGGAATACCAGGTTCTCTAAGTTTTAATATGCGCCTGGTGCAAACGTCTTACGGCCATATCACTTCGAAACATCGGGTTCCCGTGAGACCATTGAAGTTAAGCAACGTCGAACCTGGTCAGAAAATAGATGGCTGACAGACTGGAGATAACGGGTGCTGTAAGCTTGGGTGTGCGGATGGTATAAACGTCTTACGGCCATATCACTTGGAAAAACCGGATCTCGTACGATAATCAAAGTTAAGCAACGTCGAGTCTGGTCATTAACTAGATGGGTGACAGCTTGGGAATACCAGGTTCTCTAAGTTTTAATATGCGCGTGGTACAAACGTCTTACGGCCTTATCACTTCGAAGCACCGGTTCCTGTAAGAGCATCGAAGTTAAGCAATGTCGAGTCTGGTCATTAATTAGATGGGTGACAGCTTGGGAGTACCAGGTTCTCTAAGTTTTAATATGCGCGTGGTACAAACGTCTTACGGCCTTATCACTTCGAAGCACCGGTTCCTGTAAGAGCATCGAAGCTAAGCAATGTCGAGCCTGGTCAGTAGCTAGCTGGATGACTGATTAGTGGGTAACAGGTGTTCTAAGCTTGGGTGAATGACTTTGATAAACGAGTTATGGTCATATCACTTTGAAACACCGATCCCCCATAAGATCATCGAAGTTAAGCAACGTTGTGCCTGGTCAGTATCTAGATGGGTGGCCGCTTGGGAATATTAGGCGGTGTAAGCTTAGGTGTGCTGTTGGTGTTACGGATAATGTCTCAGAATTTTTAATCGGAGATCTGATTTTCGAATTGCAGTTGTGTTCGTTATATTTACATACGCGCAAATATCCTTGAGTAAAGTATGAATCCTCCTCCTCTCACCCCCAGCTATGGGTTAATTAGTAAGGCTTGTCTAAGTAAATTCTTATCTTAGACTATGAATATATTTTCTGGCTTTAAGTGGCCTGCATAGGGTTAATAAGCCGTCAAAATAACGAATCCGTCAATCATTTTGACTAGCCAGCTCCCACGAAATGTTCGAGCAACGCTGTATCTTGGTTGATGTGATATGTGACAGTTATAACTCCCTCCTAGCGGTTAGAATATTATGTCTCTGCTTAGGCTACTCGCCTTGACGTCACTAGAATTCTCTCCAACTCACTCTACGGTCGGGCATTTAAACAGTCTTCCCACTGAGACGAATTGTGGCATAAGGTCAAGTTTAGTGTGGGAAACCCGAGCGCGTAAACTCGGGCCAACGGTAAACATTTAACCAGCCCCCGCAGCCGCGGGATCGGGCACTTTGCATTGTCTATTTTTCTCAGCTGAGTCTCTGTCCGTAGACCGAGCCCCGACTGTGTCGAATTCTACCCGAAAACAGAGAGCTTGGCAAATGTGAGCCAGACAGTGGACTGCTTGACTCTAACGGACTTCTCTTGATTCTTGATTTAAGGCGTCCTGCCTAGTTCATTTGTGTTGCCGGGTGTGTGTTACTTACTCCACAACATCTGACTGAGTCATTCTATGCCCGAAGATAGTGGTCTTGTCGCGAGCCTGGAGCAGACTACGATAAACTGGTATTTACCAGTCGCCAAATTGCGGACTAGATGCGACACAAGGACAACCTGGGCCAATGGTCAAAATTTACGCAGCCCCCACCAAAGCAGTCTCAAATACAAAACTAGACTGTTTTTTTCAGCCGAGTCTCTATTCGAATACAGAGCCCGACTGAATCATCTTTCGCCCGAAGACGGAGGTTTTGTCTTGATTTGTCTTGTCGCAAGCCTGACACAGACTGCGACAATCTTCCTTGATTAACTTTGAGTTCTTGATTTAAGGCGTCTTGTCTAGTTCATTTGTGTTACCGGGGGTGTGTTACTTACTCCCCGACAGTGGCATTACTTCGACGTTACTGTAACGTAGAAATCAGCTACTTTCCTGACCCCAAACTTGACCGCCCATCACTAACGTTGTCACAACGCTCTTGGTTAAAATTTTTATCATGTTCTGTTTTTAAAATCATTTTACTCCAAGTAAGGCAACAAAGCCACTAACACGCTGGGATTTACTGATTGTAAAAGAACATAAGAAAAAGATTAAGGAGAGTGAACAATAAAAGAACAATTTACGTAGCATTTATATTTTCACAGAAGAAAGCCTGAACAGATTTCCACAAGCGAGAAGTGCGAGAAAAGAAACAGCATATAACTTTCAGTAATAGCTAGCCATTTTAACTGTAAAATGATGAGGTCTTGCGGCCTATCTACCACTGCGCTTAAATTCATCGAGTCTAGGAACGACAGAAGAGAATTGATCAGAACAATAACATGATATTATAGAAAATGCACAAAGAATCTAGATTATAGCGGTTGGAAAAGAACTGAAGCCGAGGTGCCACGCCAGGACCTATAACATTGTAGAACTTTTTCATTTTATCTATAATCTCTAAATATATAGCAGGAGCAATATTCTAAGTATGGACGGATGGTAGACTTGTAAAATAGATTCTGACAAGAAAAACTGTCTTTCACGACGCAGAGCACCAAGTATCCTGACAGCAGACCTAGCAATTGATTCGATAAATCTTTCCACTTCACGAGAACGGAAAACATTAGCCCGGGAAGGCATAATGACTCTCTTTCCTGGGGGTTATTATCATCCGTGCTGATGGAAGACAAAAATGATGCTGTGAGATGATTAAAAGAGAACAATTTTGTTTTGTAGGCGTTAAAAGTAACAAGCCATTCCTTGCACCAGTTAACAACAGGAAATAGACTTTTTTTTTTAGATCAGCTGCCAATGTGACCTTGTCAGACATACCAATGAGACTCTTTCATTTAGATTTTGAATTCCCTCTTCTGATTGATTCCTGGAATTTATTATCCGTTTTGATGCAACCGCCACTTTTACTCGAACAGTTTTTTCTCTCAATATTGTAAAATGGTTTCGCATTAGGAAAATATTTAGGATAGATAACTGTTGACCATTGCCGTGAAGATATTAATATTTTAGTGATCATGGAAGTATCCACTCGGAAGTCCGTTGGAGGTCTGGTGAAAAAACAGCTGTCTGACTGGAACTTACTCCTCACTAATGGGATATGGAGAAAATAGGCGTGTTCTATGTGGGAAGGTCTGGGCTGCTGGAAACAAGGAATATAGTTGGTCAGAACATCTACAATCCAAATTGCAAAAGAATCTATCGAAGTTTCTGTTTGAGGTGTTGAAGCATGGAAAACAATTCATCACACCCACAAGGCCGCTAGCGAGTTAGCTAGATATATACGATCCGACTAAATTAGATAGATAGTAGCCTTGCTGTGGGACGTAGTTTATCGTCATACCCAGGACGCGGGTGTAGTTTATCGTCATACCCAAGACGGCTCATCTCGGGACCAACTGAAATATATAAGAAGAAACCGATGGTGATAAACAGAATTGCTACCTCTTTTTAACTGCTCTATGACTCTTGGTTCGTTTAAAGCAAGCCCACATTTATTTAATACGTTTTTCTTTTGGACCTAGACACTCTGCTACGTTAGGTAGGTAGGTCTACATTTTTGGTATTAACATAGAGATTTTGTGACTGTAACAACATTCTCAGTTATGGGAATCAAGAACCACCTGGCTTTTTTCAGAATTAACAAAGCTGAATCTAAATAAATAAGTGAAAGGAAATTACGAAAAAAGACAAACTTCAATGCAAAGCCATCAAAAAAAAAGTGTGAGGGGGGGGAATAAAGAAACAGAATCATCAATATAAATAAAGGGATAACCTCTGTCTGTTTATTTGTTATCGAACTCCTCCTAGGGATTTTGGAGAAAGACCCCTCCCCATTATGGTATACATTCTAAAACTACATTACCCAGGGTACTTGGAGAAGTATATTTCGTTTCGATCAAAAGTGGTTCCCGGGGGCACCCATAACAGATTTTTTCCCTTTGATTAAAATTAAATTTAAATTTGAACAAAGGAATGACTCCTATAGAACTTGGATGAATATATTCTATTTTGATCAAGCAGGGTCTCAGGGATCAAACTTCCTATTGAAAATTGTTTTCCCTTTGATTTAAATTAAACTTAAATTTGAACAACGGAATGACTCCTATCCAAAAAATATAGAAAGAGAAAATCAGAAGACTGAGGTCACATCGGCAAGATCAAAATGAAACAATATGGACATCAATTTGAGCAAGAAATAACCAATCAGTGGTTAGCGCCTTACACTACATATTTCATATGTCATATCAATGTCGAAATTTGCTCACCAATTTATTCATCAAGTATTGTATCAAAAGGGCCAGACCATGCTGTTTTTTCACACCCCCCCCACAGAAATTTTGTTCCTTTGATTTAAATTAAAGTTAAGTTTGAATAAGGGAATGACAGCTATTTAAAATATACGAGGAGAAAGCCAGAAGATGGAGGTTACATCGACAAGATTATTGAGTAATATTGAAATGAATAATTTTTCTCCACAAATTATAACAATGATTTAAAATCAATCATCATTTTCTTATAAAAAATGTGTGACGCGCAGCAAAGGGCGGGTTATTCGACAAGCTTAATAAAAATCGACAATGTCTACAGAATTAAGAAATCCGAAACGGGTTTCGAAACAAAGACAGAGCCGTAATAATGCCAACAACCAGGAATTCTTGTCGGAATGTCTTGGATTAAAAAAGTTAAAATCGATACAAAATTTGCCCACTTTGATATTAAGAAATCCGCAAATATAGGAAAAAATATTCTTCTTTATTCAGGAGGTGGGTGATCACGGCTTTCCACAACTGTCTGTCCTTTGTCACCGCCATTAAAATCTTTTTGCTATCACTCCTAATCCCTGTTTTGCCAACCATTTTCCCAAGCTCGATAAGTGGGTTATGCCATGCTTTAAATATGCCCTGCGTGTCTCAAAGTTTCCAAACCTTCTTTCATCTAGATTTTTTAATTGTCTCCTTCTGATTTTAGGTAGTGATTTTCTAAGCCCGGCTTAGATGTGGCACAAGGCCGAAAGTATGGGGCACCCAGGGAGGATCGAACTCACTACTCAGTCGTAATTGATCTAGCAAGACAAGCTTTCTAACCATTAAACCACGTCGAGGTGCCCTAATATTTTCTAAGCGAGGCTTAGATGTGGCACATGGCCGAGAGTATGGGGCACATAGTGAGGATCGAACACACTATTTACTTGTAACAGTTTTAGCAAGACCAGCTTGCTGCCCATTACACCACCCCGAGGTGCCCACTTCTGATTCAAGGTAAGACTATAATGCTGATGTTCCCAGGTCCATCCTAAGCCGGGGTGGTAACACTTGTTAGGATCCCAGCTATAGGTAAATAGTTACCCACCCCCGGCCAAACTCGGGTCAAAACACTATGAAAGTACCAGCATTACATTATTACCAGCAATACATTTTTGAAAAAAATATTACCAGCTTTCGAAAAATATTACCAGCTTTCGAAAAATATTACGAGCGATATATTTTTGGAGGAAAAATATTACCAGAAATACATTTTTGAAGGAACATATTACCAGCGATATATTTTTGGAGGAAAAATATTACCAGAAATACATTTTTGAAGGAACATATTACCAGCGATTAAAATTGTTGGCATTAAATGACCCATTGATTTGTTGATATGCCGTAAAACAAACGATTCCAAACCAACCCTTCCGATGTTGCGTTTGAGTGTACTATTCGTTTCCATTTTCTCTAAAAATTCGTCATTGCTTAATGTTC